TAAAAAAAAATTTCTTAATTTATATATTAAAAAAATAAAATCTTCAAGCCGCAAGGGTCTAAAACAGATTTAGCAACAAAATATTTTTCTTACCTTATTAAGTAACTGGCTTCAAACCAGTACAGTCATCCTCAAGGTATAAAGGCCCATGCCTTTATAATTTATAAATCCATCTATCTAGCTAATATGTGTGATTGAGTGCCTTGATTTATAAAGGACTAAGGGAACCACCAACTTCCTAATGAAGTAGAAAGCCTCAACTTTTGAAAAATAGACATCCTAGAGATTATACACCTTGCTACACACTAGGCAATTTTTCCACTTAAAACATTAAGATGATATTTTGACTTAATGTGAAATAATTTCAGTTTGTGAACAGATTTTTGATTTTGCTTCATTTCTGTTAAAACAAGTTTAGAAAATGCTGTATCTATTATGTTGGCATAGAGACAATTTTGATCCTCTCTCTTTCCCCATAAACTCAGCAGGACAAACATCAAACTTTACAGTCGATTGAAAGCCTTTTTGAGAATCTGGTGAACTGTCCAAACATAAGGATTACATCACTCAATTCTTAGAAGGATGCTCCTTCACAAACTCAGTCCATCCTTGAAAAAAGACAACGTTTGTTACAAACAAGATATAACATTTACGGGTGTGAGTTAAAAAATCTTATTTTTAAAAAATGAACCAAATATCTAATCTCATATGTATATTTTCTCATGTTAAAATGCTTCTTTAGTAGCCAATGAATGAAAGTAAAACAACTTTATGAGCTTCTTAAAAATAATTTCTTTCTCAAATAAGAAGTAATCTAACATGTCAGTCTCCAACTTATAAAAATTCACCTTTTTTTTTAAGAAGTAACTTTTTAGATTTTATCAGGCTTAGTGAATGAATAATTAATAATTAAAAGTCTTATCGGAAACAATGTATGTTAAACATAAATGCAGACTATCAAAGTCAGGAATCAAAATAGGTAGCTCCTTTATAAATGACAAAGTAGTTACTGAAAAGCTAAAGCATAATTACCCTTTTTAGAAGAAAAAAAAAAGTTTTACAAGAAAGACAATGCCAATACTGTACCCACAGCAGACATACCACTATCTGAAGAAATTACTTTTGAGCACATCTAACATGCTTTTTTGAAACATATCCTTGTAATTTCCTTCATTAAAAAAATTCCAAGAGATTTTCCGATAGTCTGCTAATATGGAAAAGATTTTAAATTTAGCACTTTCCAGAACAAATCATTTTTCTTTGTCACCTTGAAAGCTTCTGTGTTGGTGGCACAGTATATGTGCAAAGGGCAATAGTAAATTACAAATAACTTCCTAGGTAAATAAGTGACAATATAAATATTTTTGAAAGCAAGGACAAAAGCTTTTATTTGTTAAAAACCTTGTTGTATAACTCAGGGGGTTGGTTACCTAGCCAGCATCTGTCTATTTAGTATTAAGCTTTGTACTTTTATTTCAATTTAATTTAAAATTCAAATACCATGCCTTTTCATTCAGTTGATTACTTCTTTTAATGTATTCAAAACTGTTGAATACACACAGAACTGAATTAAGAAGCAACAACTGCCCTACAGAGGAGCCATGGTTAATACAGAATGTTTTGAAGAACCAAGTTTTCAGTACTGAAGAAAAGAGCATACATAGAAAATATTCCAAGTTCATTCCTTAACACCAAACTAAGATCCTTTTTCAGTGGGTGTGTCTCCAACAGCTTTACATAACTCACAATGGAAATGTAAAAACATCAATTTGGCAATCAACACTTCATTGCACCTTACTTACTTTCCTTATGCGTCCCACACATTACTTCAGCTAAAGAGGCTGGGGTAACTGTCCCTAAGGCAGTCAAGGAGCTCAGCACAAACCTTGAAATCATTAAAAAAAGATTTCATTTTCCTCATTTCCCCCAACAATTTACAAGTAAACAAAGTATGACTTCTTGAGGAGGGTGGGAAACAAAGCCGAAGTCTTTTCATGATTCCTGGCGTTGAAAATGTCTTGAGGGGAGAAGTGGAGGCAGCTGCTGGCCACTTGCAGTTTAGTGCAGAAGCGGAAATGAGTGAAATGCTGTAGTTGCTTTCAGGCAGTTTTGCGCATAGAAAAAAAAATATTTAGAAAATAAAATGTTTATTTTGTCTTTCTGGTTGTGGCCAATCCAGTCCATTTCCACCATAACTGGTGAAAATTTAAATCCAAAATTAATCCGATTTGTGGCAGTAAAGGTCCTTAAGTGCTTTTAGCTCCTCAATCAGTGTCTTGTTTTGGTTTTCAAGCACTGCCACTCTGTTTTCTAAACATTTCACATATTCTTTCTTCTTTCTACGACATTCTCGTGCTGCTTCCCTACAAATGAAAAATGAAAGGAAAGATTATGTGTGTGATTTCTATTCCATTTGTTTTAGAGCTGAGTATTTTTAGGGAAATAGCTGAACTGAACAGTCTGTATTAAGCATACAATAAATGCTCAATACATGCTCCTGGGTGGGCCAGTGAGATGGCTTAGTGGATAAAGGGCCCTGCTGCCAAGCTGGACAACCCAAGTTTGATCCCTGGATCCCACATGATGGAAGGAGAAAACCGACTCCTCCAAACTGTCCTCTGACTTCCACACATGCACCATGGTACACGTGCATACACATACATGCATGCACAAAATATAAAAAGAAAATACTTAAAAAAAAAATGCTGTTGGAGGTGAGGGCCTGGGAATGTGGTTCAGGAGGTACAGTGCCTGCCACACAAGCATGAGGACCAGAATTTGGATCCCAGCACTCAGTAGGTAAGAACACTGGCTGCTCTTACAGAGGACCTGTGCTCTATTCCCAGCACTCAATGTGGTGGCTAACAACTGTCTGTAAACTCCAGTTCCAGGGGATCTGATGCCCTCCTCTGACCTCCATGGGCATTGCACGACATAGGTGCACTTATATACATGCAGGCAATGCACTCATACACATTAAAAAAAAAATTTTTTTTTAAAGTTTAATTTAGTAAAGGCTGACCAGTCTTATTTCTCTTGATTTTTCTTCTTTATTACCTAAAAATTTATAGTCCACAAGTAGAATTATCCATTAAGAATGCTATATCTGTGGGGAGTCGTGGCACACACCTTTAATCCCAGCACTTGGGAGGCAGAGGCCAGCCTGATTTACATAGCAAATTCCAGGTCAGCTGGGACTACAGGAAGACCCTGTCTCAAAAAGACCAAACAAAACAAAACAAAACAAAACAGATATCTACATGCTAGTTTCCAATGGTAAAGCAATATGACTTTGGATGCAATTTTGTTCCACAACTATGTATTAAAGTACTGTAAAAGATTAGAGTATATGTTCCTCCAATATAGACCTAAGAAAACAAGGTGTTTGTTGTTCTTTCTTGCTTATTTTTTTATTGAATTTTTTGTGCATTTCATACAGAACATTTTTTTTAATGTTTCATTATTTTTATTTTATGTATATGAGTGCTATGCCTGCATGTAGGTAAGTGCACCCGTCGTGCAATGCCTGCGGAAGTCAGAAGAGGCTGTTGGAGGCCCTGGGACTGGAGTTATGGACAGTTGTTAGCTGCCATGTGGATGCTGGGATTCAAATCCGGGTCTTCTGCAAGAACAGTGTTCTTAACCACTGAGCCATCTCTCCAGCCCCCATACAGAACATCTTAATCATCTTTATACCCCCTTTCCCATTGGCTCCCTCCCATAACCCCTGTCCCCACCCTCAAATTCATACATTCTGTCATTTGTGTTAAGGCCTATCATCAAGTTGGATTTAAATCTCACTCAATGAGAGGAAACTCATGTGTGGTACTGTAAACACAGCCAAATACACATGGCTGGAGAGGTCAAAGATCTTAGAGAAAACTCCAATGCTGTCATATCCCTAGACAAATGTAATTTCTGACTATGTGCAAAATATGGATCCTTATATTTACAGACAAGAACCCCAGTCACCACTCATCAAAGAAGCTTCTTTTGCAACAGATGAAGATTATGACAAAGTTCCACAAATGGTCATACACAGAGATTGTGAATTGGCCAAGTCTAAGTGGCACATCTACAATGCAACTTCTACCCTAAGGCTCACAGAACATAGAACAAGGGGTAAAGAGAACACTAATACATCTCTCAATTCTCATCAATAAAGCACTTTCATGTAACCAGAGGGCCAGAAACATAAAAGGTCACAAATGACTAAAGTGTAGAGAGTAAGAGTCTGCAAAGTGTGGGTCCTTGGACAGGACTCCTATATTAAACTTCACCCACCCAGGGCTCAGGGACCATTGCAGAAGAGGGGGTGGTAAGATTTTTAAGAGACAGGGAGGAGGTGCATGACCATATGGAAGTAAGAGTCCTACAGGCTCCTGGGACCTTGCTCATACGAACCTACAGCAATGGTGCCAGCATGCTCAAGGTACATTTTAAATGCAAGACTCATTGGATCTTTACAGTTTACTAATGTAAATTCAGGATAATCAAAGAGGAATTCCATAAAGCATGTCCTAAACTGAATTTGGATAGTGGGTGTGTATGTGTAGAAGGTTTCAGGTTATTGAGTAAGTCAATGCTCATTAGTCACAATTTAAAATAAATTTGGATACAAATTTAATATGTTATACTAGCAGAGTTCTAGACCAGGAAACAGAAAGGTTGGGTTTAGACCCTGGCTTTGACCCTAGCTAGCTAATTATACAGCTTCTAGGAGGTCCTTTCACATTCAAGGATTGCTTCCCCCAAATCTTTAAAAAGAGAAAAAACAAACAAAACACAACAAAAAAACAACACATCTCAAGCCAAAGTACTGGTACATTTGTACAAGACAATATTAAGTTGCAATGTCAAAAGTTTGGTCAGGAATGGGGAGATGGTCAATCAGTAAAATGCCTGTCATGCAAGTATCAGAACTCAAAACTAATGGGAGAGCGATGGGGGAAGACAACTGCTGTCACCTCTGGCTTCATGCATGTGCACACACACAAATATACTATACACATACAAAAAACTTTTAAAAAGATAACTGATTGTCTAAAGCTGAAGTAGGAAAAGATTTTATTTATTTATTTTTTTGGTCTTTTTGACACAGGGTCTCTCTGTAGCCCCAACTGACCTGGAACTTACTATGTAGACCAGGCTGGCTTTGAACTCACAGAGATCCACCTGCCTCTGCCTCCCAAGTGCTGGTATTAAAAGCGTGTGCCACCACACCCGGCCCCAGATAGTACATATTTTAAGTCTTTCTGGCTTAATATAGTTTCTGGTGTATGTGTGCATGCATGATGAAACAGGTTCTAAGTTAGATTTGATCTATCACACATAGTTTGCTAATTCTATGGTATACAAACCAAGGTCTAAACCAAAGTCCAAGTATACATTAACAGAAAGAAGTCTTCCTCAAATACAAAGACAAAGATAGGTAAGGGGCAAAGGGTGGAGAAGGGGAGAATCTGCAAACACTAATCAAAAGAAACTGGGGTAGTTTTAATATCAGAAGAAGCACATTTAATCTTGATCTTAAACTGATTGGACTGAGAGACACCTAGCAAAGCATCCTTCTTATGTTCAAAGACTCATTCCTGATCCTACCTCAGCCTCCCAAGGGCTGTGATTACAGACATGTGACACCACACCCAGCTTGTTAGACAAGGTCTTATTTATTTTACCAGGGATTGCCAAATGTGCCTTGCTGCTTATTTTTAGGCGGAAAAAAGTTGCTACATCACAACCATTTTCATTTACCTGTGAACGTATATCCACAGATGACAAGAACACAAGGACTCAGGCTTAATGTTCTCATACATTGATGGATTCAGAATTTGTATAGACTATTGTGGAAGATAGGGTCTAAGTGGAGGAATAAGTTGCTGGGTGTGTCTCAGAAAATGTATCATGGCCCTAACCCTCTCTATTACTACTATGATCTTCCTGTTTGCCATGAGGTGAGTAGCCTCAGCCACATGCTTCTGCTGTCATGACACTCTGCATTAGCTGAGGCCCAAAGCAATGGATCTAGCTGACTATGTACTAAAAATCTCTGTATCCATGAACTTTGGCCTTCTGAAGAATACTGTCAGGGATAAAGAAGGACATTATATAATGATAATGATGGAGTCACTTCTCTAAGACATTCATTCTAAGTGTATACATACTCTTAACAGAGATTAAACATACTTAAAAAAGAAAGTGATAGAACTAAAAGGAGAAATGAACATGTCCATAACTATATGAAAGCTCTAACAGTCTGTAGTGAAGATAAAGTAGGAAAGAAAAAAGGCTATAGGACACCTGATATTACCAAGCAACCGTACCTACTTGATATCTGTGATACTTGCTATTTTTTTTTATTTTTTATTTTATGTGTATGAGTATATTGCCTGCATGTGTATAAGTGTACCCATGTTGTACAATGTCTACGAAGGTCAGAAGAAGGCATCAGATACCCTGGAATTGGAGTTATAGATGGTTGTGAGATGCCATGTGGATGCTGGGAGTCAAACCTGGGTCCTCTGCAAGAGGAGCCAGTGCTCTTAACTGCTGAGCTATCTCTTTAGCCCCATACTTGCTAATTTAAAATAACAGAAATAATACAAGATATGTTTTCTGGTAGCAAAAATTAATTGTACATTAATACTAAACATATAAATCACTTCAGAAGAAGTTTCAAAGGAATAAAAATATTTTAAATTGAATATAAATACAGCTTGACATGTCAAAATTTGTCAGATGCAAGGCAATGTTTGGATAGGAATTTACAGCCTTAAATATTTATGTTAAAAGAGACAGTCTTATTCACTTATACTGGGGGTTGCCAACTGTGACCCGCTGCAAGTTTTTATAAAAAAAAAAAAAAACTTATTCATGGTTACTTTCCTGTTAAAACAGCAGAGATGGGTTGTGACAGAGATCATTTATAGTCTGTAGGACTTCAACTATTTATTACAATCTCATCCTTTACAAAGTTTGCCAAACCATGATCTAACTTCACCTTAAGAAACAGAAAAGAAGCTAGGTCTACTCTCAGCACTCAGGAGGTAGGCAGATCTCTGTGAATTTGAGGCCAGCCTGGTTTACATAGCAAGTTCCAGGTCAGCCAGGGCTACATAGTGAACTCAGTCTCCAAATAAAAGAAGCGGGGAGGGGTGGTGGGAGTGAGAGCAGATAAAACCAAAGCACGCAGAAGGAAGGAAATGATAAAAAGTAAAAATCAAGGAAACTGTATTGAGAAAAACAATGAAACAAAAATTGGCTCCTTAAAAAGAGAAAATGGGGGGCTCGAGAGATGGCTCAGAGGTTAAGAACACTGGTTGTTCTTGCAGAAGATCGGGGTTCGAATCCCAGCACCCACATG